GCCCTTGAGCCTGGGAGGTCAAGGCTGCAGTGAGTCGTGATCACACCACTGCACTCCAGCCCAGGGCGACAAAGTGAGACCTTGTCTCAAAAAAAAAATCATGTTGAAAATGCATTTAATGTACCTAACCTACCAACCATCATAGTTTAGCCTAGCCTGCCTTAAATGTGCTCAAAACACTTACATTAGCCTACAGTTAGGCAAGTCATCTAACATAAAGCCTATTTTATTTTATTTACTTATTTATTTATTTTCGAATTGGAGTCTTGCTCTGTTGCCCAGGCTGGAGTGCAATGGTATGATCTCAGCTCACCACAACCTCTGCTTCCCAAGTTCAAAGAATTCTCCTGCCTCAGCTTCCTGAGTAGCTGGGATTATAGGCGCCCACCACCACTCCCTGCTAATTTTTTTTTTTTGGTATATTTAATAGAGACAGGGTTTTACCATGTTGGTCAGGCTTGTCTCAAACTCCTGACCTCAGGTAATCCACCCACCTCGGCCTCCCAAAGTGCTGGCATTACTTGCGTGAGCCACTACACCTAGCCTTATTTATTTTTGAGATGGAATCTCACTCACTGTTGCCCAGGCTGGAGTGCAGTGATGCATTCTCAGCTTAGTGGAACCTCTGCCTCCAGGGTTCAAATGATCCTCATGCCTCAGCCTCCTGATTTGCTGGGATTACAGGTGTGCACCACCACGCCAAGCTAATTTTTGTATTTTTAGTAGCGTCAGGGTTTCAACATTTTGGCCTGGCTGGTCTCAAACTCTTGACCTCAAGTAATCCATCCCCTCGGCCTCCCAAAGTGCTAAGAGTACAGGGGTGAGGCATCACTCCCAGCTGATTTTATAATAGTGTTGAGTATCTCATAACTTATTGAAAATGAACTGAAAGTGAAAAACAGAATGGTTTTATGTATGAATACTTGAAGTGTGGTTTCTACAGAATGCATTGCTTTTGCACCATTATAAAGTCATTCAATCGAACCAAGCTGTCAGTGACTATTTATAATTGTTATAAGTTTTTTATTATTTTTCTTTTAAAAAATTATCTTTCTTTTCACATGTATTAAAATAAATAGTCTATTTTGACATCTGAATTTATTGTCACACCTTGTTTAGCGTTCTTTTTGTATGTTAGATGCAGGGGAGGGCATTTATAAGCATTCAATAAATGCATGAGCATTTATAAACATGTAATCTATAAACAATATTTTTTCTTTAATTCTCATGATGCTTTCTTCATAGCCCCCCTTGGAGTCTGTGCCTTATGAGGAAGCACTGGCAAACCGCCGCATCCTTCTCAGCTCTACTGAAAGCAGAGAAGGCCTTGCACAGCAGGTATGGCACTGGGAAAATCATGAAAATTGTTAAAGAACAGAAATGTTAAATTGCCCAAAGAAAGTTTTTAAGACATGTAGAATGATTCAAAAGTCTGCATAAATAGACATGTGAAATGAATTGTTGTTTTTTTTTTTTTTTTTTTTT